ACGTAACAGGCTCCTAGCTTAAGTCGTTGTAAATTGCAAACAGATTACAAGACACAAGTTAAAACCATCTCTTAAAACAAGGTCTCACATAAGTAATTTGTTATTCTGTGGCAGGGGAGGTGGGGTGCAATGGTGCTGTTTGTTGCACAGATCTAGATAACCTTGTTCTGAAAAGAGAACAACGGTAGCCAAATCAAGATAAATGTGTTATCAAAAGGGATAAAATGAGTTGTTTACTTAGTGTTAGAGTGGCGCTCTGCAGTACACTGCTCAATACTTCCTCTCATCTTGCCATGGATGGATATTTCCTGAGACCAATTTTTCAATCAGCTCTGTATCCATCCAGCCAATTATTACCAACTGCTCAACTAGAATCTCACGAAAGACTTTGTTGAATGCTTTGCTGAAGTCAGCGTACACTATCTCCATTACATTCCCATGGTCAAACCAAATTGGTCACTCAAATAAAAAAAGGACATTGAATTTTGGTGGACTTGTTTTTTGATAAACCCATGTTGGCGTTCAAAGCAATATATTCTTTTCATTTCTAAATGTGCACAAACTGACTGCTTAATCATCTGTTCCTGAGTTTTGTCCAGTATCATTATCAAGTTGACTAGCCAGTAGATAGTCATGTCCTCTTTTTTTTAAGATGGGAACAACACTTGCTCTTCTCCAGTTCTCTGGTATTATTATTATACTCGTCTTCCATAATTTCGCAAAGATCTCAGAAAGGTACTCCACGATGACAACCACAAGCTCCTTCCAAGATTGAGCGTTAACTGGTCTGGTCTTGGAGTCTCAGTGCTGGATGAAGGTATTTTTGTTTTGAAATGGCCAGTGACTCTCAGCAACTTAGGAAGCACTATCATCTACAATCATTTCTCCCACTTGGCCATGCCACCTGCGCTTTAGAGATGCCTTTGTATTATATTGGTTTTTTGACCTTGAAAGAGGGTGCAAACATGTCAGCTAACACAAAATCACTGGCTTATTTATCTCATCTCAACAGCGGGACACAATGGGATGTGAAGCTACCCAAACAATTTGGGACTGATGCAGGATGTTTATGAGTAGAGTGATGGGAAAGAAAAGTAACTATGGCAGTGAATATAACCCAACTTTACTCCTATTTATTTAACTCTCACATTACCATTAAATTTCCTTTCCACTATGTGGATAAAGGATAGCAGTTCAATCCTTATTTGGTTTCAAGCATTTATCAGCTGAACTGAAGTATTTATTTTACAATGTTTTATCTGAATGGGTTGAGTCTTTGAGACAGGGTGAACCTAGTCACTGCTCCTGATTCTTTGACAGAAGAGAAAAGAAAGGCTGGTTTGATTTAGTTTGTATAAAGCTCATTTCTTGGTAGTAGCATCAATCTTATTTAACTTCAGCTTATGAGACACACAATGCTCATTCCAAGTTCCCTCTCTCTGAAACTCATAGCAATTAATATTTAATACTAAGCACCAGCCGCTTCTGCATGGTGTGGTGCTATTCTCTAGAAAGCGTAAATCAAAGCAGCCAGAGCAGTAAAAACACTCAAATGATCCTGTAATTCACCTTATCTTTAGAAATGCTTCCTTCACATCAGGCAATTAACTTGCAAAAATCTGCACTTTCCACAACTTACATGATTTAATGTTAATCAGGACATGGTTGAGTTTTACTATATGCTCAGATGCTTCTTTAAGCAAGCAATCTGGTTGCTCAGTTTACCAAAGACCACCGCACTGACACTGTATGCCAAAAGCTAGTTTATGGAAACAGGAATGACCATGTTGCGTTTTTTCCCTGTTTAACATACTGAATTTCTGGCATAGGGTTTGGGTATTGGTGGAGAACTAGGCCTAAGTGCCATCTGGACAAATAGCTGCTAACAAGAATTCAAGCTCTGGCATCTATATAGTAAATTGAGACCCTGAGTCCATTCAACTGTGGTTATGTGAACAGCAACAACACCCCAAGAATTGCATTTAGGGTTCTCTTCTAGTCCTAGGATTGAACTTGGGACCTCATACATGAAACCAGTGTGCTTTGTTATTGAGGTACCCCTCATTGCAGCAAGGACAAGATCACTAAATAGAAAATGAGAAATCCAGCTGTGGCATACCGACATGAATGTAATGGTATTTTGCTTTCATATTTCAAAAGCCCTTCTCCATTCTAATCCACATTACTGCTTCAGTGAAGACTTCTCAGCAAATCATCCTGAAATAAAGTATGTTTGCTCTGAAGTGAGAAACTACTTTTCCATCTGTGACTTTTGCTAACTATGGTTTAGAGAGACATTTCAATGGGCAAGACATAATGAAAGCTACTCTAAATGAATGAATCTGTGCTTAGAAAACTGACTAGTAAACAAAGCCAGGGAAGAGGCTTTAAAGCACAGTTTGCCTGTTGCACGCTTGGAAGAATATACAAAAGCTGTTTAGAAGCAACCAGTTATAAAGGTTGTACATCAGCTAATTTTGTTTAATGTTACAGAGCACATTTAGAATTATTGTAAGGGAGAAAAGGCAAGGACCAAGCAAGATGCTCACACATTTACAAATCTAATTTTGATTTAAGGCACAAAACACCATGGAAAATTCATCTGAATTTAACTATGCGAAACAGCATTTAACTGAACACACCGCTTAATTTTTTTTTTTTTAAAGAAACCTACTTTCTATCCCTGAAGGATTAAGAAGTGGCAAGATGATTTCTCCCATTCTAATAATAACAAAGAAAACTAAAGGATTAACATCCTTTTCTTTTTCTTTGTTTCTCCTTCCTTGAGAACTGTGCGAGAAGGAAGCTTAAATGATTTAACTGTTGTTGTTTTTTAAGGTAAAGCTTATCCTGAAATCAAAGTTTTTCCCTGATGTATGATTCAAGTTATCAAGCAGGGGGCCAACTATATTAGAATAGCCATTCTGAAACTAAAAAGAAGCCTCTGGTATTTACTGATGCCCTTAAGACAATTAATTATAGATATAGTAAGTGACAACACTATGTGGCAGGCTAAACAACTGAGATTCCTGACAAATCTAATTAACAGCACATCAGGGGTACTTTGCCTATCCTTTACATACTCTGTCAGCTTTAAGAGTCTAATGAGGAAAACAGCTGAAACATTCCTAGAAATTTCCTAGTTGGATCATACAGCTTGAAACCAGACCTCCCATTACAATCACCAGTGTTCAAACACTTCCCATGTTTGGGTAAACAGAAAAATTCATCTCGAGACACCTACAACAGCTCTGTATGATATAGGCCAAAAAAAAAAAAACCTGAAGTGGTTTGAGTTAATGTGATAATTGCATATAAATCATTAAGCATCTTGTTTTCAGCCTATGTATTTTGGTCAAACCCATAAAGATGAGAGATGTTAAAAGCCATAGGGATGTTATATAATGAGGTGTTACACTTGGTTCTTTTAAATATTTAGGCTTCACAACCATGCCTCCTGACAACCCTCATCTGTATGTTATCTTTAGCTCAAGTTATAGCTGGGACTAGGAGTGAATGAAGCAGCAGTGGTCTCAACAGCCACCCATGAATAGTCTACAATCACAAACAAATATCTGAAAGCAAAGCACGTTGAAGCTTCTTCTCACAGCTGAGACCTCAAACAGCATAGTCCTTTACCAGAAAACTGAGCAATGTTGCTGTTTTTACTTGATTTGCGGAGGGGGCGGTGGTTTAAAGCAAGCACACTTTGAATAAGACTTCTGGTCTTGGTTTATTGTAATACGGTAAGCCTACATCACTCCTAGTTCACAATGAAAGAGCCAGTTAACAACCCACCATGCTGGCTTTCTGTACCAGTTGGCTTTATTATTTAGCAAGGATGAGTATTTCTGAGGTTGCATGATAGGAATTATAACAGGAATAAACTAGATCAAGAGAAATGAATTGTACTTAGAGATGACTTCTGTTAAAACATAATTCAGTGACTAAAAATAGCTTTGGACAGATATCATTTTACACAAAAAGTATTCTATAAATCTATTATGATCAACTGTGGCAATCAATGATTATGCATTTTCTAAAAACGTCCCTGGCTTTCTTATAAGCTTTAAAACATTTTCAAAGAAACCACAATAGTTTCCACTACTTTATAACATTGACTCCATTTTCTCCAGTTCTGGCTTCAAGACGTCATGGGATGGGGGAGGACCAGATACAGCACTGTGAGTGAGCCTACCTAAGCTGGTAGAGGTGGGACATGCAAACTAATATTTCAATTGATCTGCAACTGATCTCCATGCAAAATAGAAATAAAAAAACTATAGGATCAACTTGGTCCTGAGTTGGTCTTGGCCCCTAGACATGAATCCAACATTCCCATCTTGGCTACCAAAGCGAATACTAATAAATATGCCAATATTTTCCACAGATCATTTTGACTAGTTTACTCAGGTAGCAAGCTACTGTCACCAGTGAAAATTAACGCATTACACAGAAAGCCACAAATCAGTTCTCACTTAAATATAAACCCTTCACAATTTGCTAGTACAAGGCTGATACTATTTTTATGCTACTTTTTGTAGCATAATAATGCTACTAATTAGTAGCACAATAATGCTACTAATGACTGTGGAATAATTTGCACAGTAGTGCAGTTACTTCTTCCAAGGGGAAGGAATGCACAAGATCCATACCCTTGGGAAGAGGCAGGCAGGCAACCCCTCTTACCCACAATCTTTAAAACACCTTGTTATGGGGTTAAGGAAACGTCAAATGCTTCAATGAGAATTGCCAACAAACCCTGGTTGTAGTCCAATTCCAAGTCTGCTCAAGTGCTGCAAATTTGGAAGTGGGGGGGAGTTAATGCAATAAAGTTGAGCTCCCTATCACAATCTCAACAGATGAGTTATTAAGTGTCAGGATGTATTACATGCACACGGTGGGGGAAGTGAACTATAAATGGAGAATGGCATAGTTTAAGCATCAGCAGCATGCCTGTCAGCATTGGCAAGGTATTTTTAAACACTATGGATCCTTACCTTTTGTTAATAGGCTTTTCATCTTTTTCATATGGCCGGATGAACCATTTCCCAATCCTTACAAAGTTTTTGTCCATTAGGCATCTGGAAAAAAAAAAAAATAGTAATTTAACTACAGAAAATAATGCCATCATCTTCACCGCATCCAGCTTCACCTCTTCACATCCAGCTCTGTTTTTTTGCCCTTATGATATTAGTCTTGGTCTCTTATTTGTCTCATGCCATTATTGTCTGTCCATATTTTAAAAATTTGTCCCCTCTATCAACTACCAATACGCTAATTTTCATTGCATCAAAGCTTTGCCTTTTACTGGATTAATGTTTAAGCATGTATCCAGCCTTAAAAAAAAAAAAAAGAATTAACTGACTAGTCAAATATTTTCAAACCATAGTACGTTTAAACTAATTGATTAAAAAGATGTTTTTTGAGCAACCAGTTTGATATTTATACTGGTACTGAACTGTTATTTTTAAGCAATAGAATGTTTTAATTTTAATTAATTATAACTTAACATCATTATGAAAGGCTTCAATAAATGAGAGTCATTCACTAACCATTATATTCTGGATCACCAGAGTCAATATAAATAAATTTCAACAATGTGGCATTATATGCATATTAATAGTTAACCCATTATCCAATTGCCTCTTCATATGTAGTCAAAATGGAACCACTTAGCACAAATGAGAAATATCAACAGACTTGAGAACCTGCAAAAAAAATTATTACACTCTCCACCCAAGCTCTCCAACACAATTAGGTCTAATCATGTTCAACAGCCATGAAATAGTGACTTGATTGATTTCTGGGGTGGGAAAATGGAGCATCAACAAGTGCTAAAATATTCTTTTTATTCTGAGAAGTAGTTCAGCAATTCAAAAAGAGCCTTTTGTGCATCTTGACAGTCACTCAAACATTTATCCACTGGATGGTCCCTAAATCCATGGTTACCTTCATGACGTTTACAGCATTCCCTATATTGCAACACAACTGGCAATTATTTGTTTTGTAATTCCAGTGCAAGATAGTGATTACACTCTAATCAAAAGATCAAACTGAGATCAGGTATCCCAAAGTTAACTACCAGGCTCAACAGGTAGCCTTGTTCACTTACTATTTGATTTCATCTGGTCACAAACAGCAGTAAAGGTGTCTAAAATAAGTATTGTGTTTTCACACCTAGTAACAGACTAGCAGCTCTGAACAGTAAGAGTTTCTAGCTAATGAACAGACTAACAACCTTGCCGTTCAATTTGGTTTCGACAAAATACTGGATTACTATTACTAGAACAGGTCTATATGAAGGCAGTTGGGAGTCAAAATAACAGACTGACTAAACAGTTTAAGTCTACGATTGAAACGATGATGAGAAAATACTGAAATGAGAAAATATTGAAACTATGATGAGAAAAGTTTCCTATTTGTACTTCAGGATTTTTTTTAAAGTCCATTTCACTACTATGATCTAGTGCCATTTCTATTTTAATATTGCTCCAAAGGAAGTGAACTCTCATTCCGTAACTGAAACTATTATTCAAACGGGTTAACTGCAGAGAGTTCTTATCTATAAGGTGTAAACTAATTTAAATACAGAAATAGAAATAACACATTGAAAATTTCAGAGAGTGCCATACTAAGAAAATTATGGGCCAATAAAGATGAAGCATTTCTTAGCCTTCAAATATTTTGCTTTGACACAAAACAGAAGGAAATGCATCTTTAAAATCAGTAGCTTGGGGTATATTTTACTAATTACTTATGAAGTCTATAGCTTGTTTAAAAATACCAGCCACAAAAAAGTTTTAGCAAATTTTGAGATAACAGCCAAAGGCGGAAAGAGTTCATTAGCAAGCAAGCAAAACTACGGACCTTGCCAGAAATAAATTTTTGCATCAAACAATGGAAAAGTTTAATCAAGATGACATGAGGTAGCAAGCCTTATCTTTGAAGAACTCAAGAGGAATTCCAAACTGCTAATTCTACTGGATTTCCAGGCCCCTGATAATAGCATTTTCTTGGCTACCGCAATTTGAAGAGAAAGTTCTTAATGTGTTTAATTTTAACCAGGGAAAAAAATGATTAAACTGACTCACATCCCATCAGATACCTTTTGTTAGCAGCACAGAAATAAATGCAATGGGTAGAAGAACAGAATAACCAATTAAAAAGGCAGAAGCAATAAATCCTAAAATATTCACCCTGGTCCTTTTACACCACTTCTTCTTGTATAGAAGAGTATACAAAATATATATAAGAATAACCAAATATAAGTAATATAGTGCTAAATCAGGAGGAATGCCTTCCAAGTGAACAAACTCCATAAAGACGCATCCCCGTTAAACTCCGGGTGATTACTAAAGGTGCAGGGGGCTGAGGGGCAAGTAAAAGAATTGAGAAGTTTGGGATCTTAGATTTTTGTGATAAAAGGAGCTGGCCAGCTAAACTTAAAATGCAGAACCACATTTAAAACAAACAGGAAGAAAAAGAAATAATGAATTTGTCAGAGACCCACAGAAATGCCACAGATTTATTGGATAAAGTTTAATTGAATGGGTGATATATGTTTTTCTGGGATAAATAATGAGGCATAATATTATCTTATGTTACACTCTGTTTTATCTGGACACTGACCAAAGTAAATATTATGTATCTTTGTAACTACCTCTTATGCTGTTGATATAAAGGGTATCTAAAAAGTATTCCTCTTCTCTGCTCCACATCCCCAAGATCATAATGAAATCAATTATATCAGCATCAAGAATTTAAAGGTGTCGCCCTCTTAAAATACCGTCATCTCTAAGCTAACCCAAAGGATTTATTTTTTTCAAGCAGCTCATGATCAAGTTTTTTTCCAATCACACTGGATATTATTCACTGCTAAGTTTGTCATCAGCAAGAACTTAAGAGTTTATGAGTAGAACTGAATTTCTAGGTATCTAATGTTACAGAAAAAGGTATTTTAAAAAAATTAATACCTCTGGAAGTGATGAAAGTTCCAACTGAGTTCAAAGGAGTTTGTTAGCTTTAATATCAACTCCTTAGACCAGCATTTTTCAACCCGTGGGCTGCGAAAGGTCCGCAGGTGTGCTGCATCAGCCAGAACCCCACCTCCTGTGACATCACCAGGGGTGGACTGCCTCCATTTCTCCTCCTGAGTCCCAGCAACCTGTGACATCACTGGACTTCCAGCTTTCTGACCTGGAAGTCCCGCCTATGAAATGTGTGCCCTGAGATGCGACCTTGCTATGAGATCTGTGCCGTGAGATGAAAAGGGTTGAAAACCTTTGCCTTAGACAAACATCTGTGTCATGCTTCTTTTGGACAAAATGACCATCTGTTATTGCCAAGACCATCTGTATTAAATTATGTCCTGGTCTTTGCCTCAGCTGCCTTCCCATTTTCCCCATTTTTAGTGTTTCAGCTGGGGGAGAAAGATAGAGCAAAAGTGTACTAAAAGTTTGCTGTTGTGTTGAATGCTGTGACTTCAGTAAACTTCCTTAATCGCAGCTTCACAAACGTTATCGTCTGGGCACCAGTAGTAATCATCCTTCATACGAACTATAAAATTTCCTCCTCTTTTTAAGGTCTTAGCAAAGTAAGAAAGAGAGTCAGACATCTTTTCTCATATGCATGAAGATCAGAAGAAAATTATGCTCTTGCATGTTACTTTTCCGTATTTCATTGAAAAGAATCTTGTTCTATGCCTCTCCCTGAAGCAAACTGTCTGCCAAATTCAGATTACTAAATTAAAATTGGAAATCCAAAGCAACATTAACAAAGCCTCAGCAACACTCACCTTTCCAACAGGTTGTGGATCGCCTTGAAAAGTAGCGTTCTGCACTCATATGAAAGCCCATTCTCCCACAGTCCCTCTTCTACCACTGTAAAAGAGAAAAACAGTGAAGGTGTCAGTATAAGATCTTTCTAACAGGAAGTTTTCTTGGGTTTGTTGGGCAACAAAAACAGCTTCAGAGAGAGTGAGTTAAGAAATTTTCATTTCTGTTGTTTAAATCCTGAGATCAGAATGACTAAAATGCTTAATTACTCATTACGGCTGCATCTATTTCATCTCTCTTTTCAAAATATCACTGTCTTCAGGAATATGTGCTAGGATTAAATATATTCATACAGTGGCTGTCAAATTGTACAAAAGCTAAAAGTTCATCAAAAGAGCAGCACAGGTGGGTGAACTGGATGTCACAATGCCAAACCCACCTCCGCCATGTACCCAGTGGATAATTCTGGATTCAATCTCCCTCAAAATCCTATATACATAAAATTGGATTCATCAGACACACGGGGAGGGATTGCAAGCAATCTAAATACTTTGGGAATCAGGACTTGACTTTAGAGCTTCAGTGTGACCAAAAGCTTTCAAAATCTTATCATAACCTACCCTCTGCACATGAATGAACTCATGCACATGAATATACACACCCACTTTTATCTGAGCTAACACACTTGGTTTCATCTGAAAACCAGACACCTCCAAACACAGAAGAACTCATCAACAGACAGTACAAAAATTCTTTGGCTGGCAGATCAGCTGCTTTATTATTTTTTTCTGCTCATTTTTGACAGTCTAATCTCTGAACTGCATAGAAAGAAGTCATGTAGAGATCATGATGATAGAGGCGACTGGTTAAAAAACATTCATACCAGTTAGTACAGCTCTAATTTAAAAATTCACCCTTTTATGTCTGCTTGCTTGTAGTTTGTCAGTCTTAACATTGATAATGATCTCAGGCAAAAAGGAAAAAAAAACACCCTAAAATGCCCAGTAAGATTTCATATCCCTCAGTATGGCTAACAGCTGATTTGGAAAGGTAGTGCTTGTATTATAAAAACAGCATCGGCGCAAGATTAATGCCATCATCCTCCAGCCCCACTGCATTTCCTACCTAATGTGTAGCTGACCTTTAAACCAATGTCTGTACTCGCAAAGGAAGACGCCCAGAACTAGTCCTACCTACTACTTCTATATCTCAGATACCCAAATTAATGAAAAGTTATTGTCCTGCACGCTGACTTACTATTGTAATGCTATTGGCTGCGGCAAAAAGGCAAGGGAACATACGTTATGGGATGCAATTAGTTGTTTGGTCATTAAAAATGACTGAAAATCAATTTCTTCCTCTGTTGTGCTGAAAAGCCTTCTAGACTAAAGTGTGGCCCATGAGATAAGAAAGTCAACAACTACAGATGGAGGGTTTTTGTACATGTTTTTTTTTTTTTTAATGAAGCTGGTTTTTTCCCTGCCATGCCCCTTCTTCAGCATTAAAAAAATCAATTTAAAAATCCAATTCATTGGCCAACGTCTACATTAAATAAATATATCAAAAATTCAATTACCACAGACTGGAACTAACAACGTTTTATCTTCGGTTGAATTTGTCCATTTAAGTGACAAACGCAAAAAGTATCACGGCGTCCTAGAAACTGACATCCAAAAAGCCAACCGAGTAACATTGATTCTGAAATACTGCATTAAGGCCATAAACTATCTAATCAAACGCAAGGCTATTGATCTATTATTGTTGCATTACCATTGATAGCCTGCAAATTATGTGCGTTTGAAGTTCACCCTGACTCAACGGACTTGCTCCTTCAGTACATGCAGTGATGGGTTGTGTACTGCTCAAATGCTTTATGCTGCTTTTAGCTAAGGAAGTATGTCATCGTGTACTACTCAAATGATGTGAAAATACCTTTCCCATCAGGTCATCAGTATTACATTACTCTATGCGCTTTGAGACAATTACAAATGCTCCTTATGATGCAGCAGTGACTTCAAAAGAATCCTATCTGTGTGGTTGGTGGCCCCTTGGCTAACCCTCTTCTTCACTTTTCAGCCTACGTCCAAACATAACCATTTTGTTTTCAATTTTCTCCAAGTGGTAAATACTTCTCAGCAAAACAGTGTTTCTTTTGTTGCTACGACACAAGCTTTTTTGGGGGGGGCGGGGTTGGGTTGGGTTGGGTTGGTTTTCAACCATGCTATAATTAAAGAAAGAGTTTTCAACGGGATGTGTGACACCCGATGTCCCCAAGAAAAGGGCTTTATGTCAACGGGAGTACAGTGGATTCCAGTGATGGCAAGAAAATCATCAGCAGCTGTAGTGGCTGAAATGCAGCTTCCTCATTAGCATTTCCCTTCGAATGAAACCCTCATCCCACATTGCTGTACTGACAACCGTCGTCACGAAAAGCATTTTCCAGCAGACTTAGCCCCGGCAAAGGGCACTCTGCAGCAGGAGGGAGAGAACATGGCAAGACAATTCATTAGATATGCCGAGGGAGCTACTATTTACTGTTTTTCAATAGTGTGCTCAAATGAAGGCATTCCCATTACATAATTTTAAAAAATCACCGCCAAAGAGAAAACTATGATCCCCTTTGATTAAGGGAAGATACTTCTACCATACTGGAACGCTACAGCAGCTGAGCCTTTTTTATTGTGGGGGGGGAGTGTTTTGTAGCCACACAGAGACACGCACATATACATGTTAAACTGATAATTGCCCCCAGGCACAAAATTCCCCCCAAACAAACAAAATCCAATAAACTGGCTTTTGATAAGTCTGATTTGAAAAGCTGGCGATAATCTGTAGAGGACTTTCAACTATCTCATTAGTTTTCCACCTGATTTCTACTTTAAATAAAACAGCCCTGCCATCTCGTTTTGCTGATCGATCGCGATATGTTTCATGTTCAGCTCTTATTGGGTTTCCCTTGAAATGTTCTTTACAGAACTATGGAAAACAATGTCTCTTTTATTTGGTCTTTTCACTTGCTTTCAGGATTGTATTGCCCCGTTATCGCCGACTCCTTTGTGTTTTTTCAACACTTCCAAATACTGAAAAACAGGGCTATATAAACATAAAACTGAAAACATGCCATTTAAAAAGAGAGTTTTAAACAAGGCTTAGCCACTTTCACTGGGACTAATGCATGCCAACTTCTCAAGGGTCAGTGTGCAGAATATTATTAGGCAGAAACAGAAGCTGTTGGCTCTTTTTTTTTAATTTAAGTTGTTGTTTTTTTTTATCTATGTTTTGATCCCTCTTCCAGGCCATGAATAGTCACAGGGC